AGGCCATTGATTTAATAACCTGACCGAAAGGTAGCGGGTTTTGTGGTTGATGGCAAGGCGACCATTTTAAGGCATAAGGACCTACCCTCATTCCAAACACTAGACTGGAGGATTAGTTTGTTGAGATCGTCTGTCCTCTAACCATTGACAGATCTGGTACGAGTGGGTCTCAAGTTGCAAAAAGGCACCACCCAATCTATCTCAACGGTTATCTGAGGCAATCAAAACATCGCATCAAGGTGAGGTCAAGTTATATTGAGATGCAAAGTCAATGTTAACAACTTGTACAAGAGAAGACACATAATGCATCAAAGCAACAAGCCCTTCCATAAATATATTTGTAAAATTTTGAAATCCTTGCAACGAAGCTAACAAAGGATAATAAAAAGCATCATTAAGCAGCCACGAGACAATATAGACAATAACATGCATGTTCCCTAGTAAAAGTGCGGATGAGTAATATCATTAAAGTTTTGCAAATGTGAGAATATCAATTCGTCCCTTGATAACGTTGCTCGTCGATATAGCAACGGGTATGTGTTCAGCAGCCGCAGCAAGTATACATTATACAGAACATATCTTGAACTTCCTAAGAATAAGTATAAATCATTTGATGATCATGGCGATTTTGCTGCAAACGGATGGTTAACAAGCGAAGTGACATCGTCAGTGCGCAGTTACAGGGAGTGCAGAAGCGTAGAGTAGCGTAGAGGGGCTTCCGTGAGAGTGCGATGACCGTGGTGCGCGTGTATTTATGTTGTCGCTAGTGTCCCCGGAGAGAAGCAATCCTAATGTTTGGGACTTCCATGCGCGTCCTCATTGCTTGATGAGTAGATGACATGTGACGTTGAACCATCCGCCTTGCTTTCCTGAACTTTATCTGCTTGATCTTGTAGGAGAGCCTGTCGTCAGATCTGGTTGTCTAGTCCCACGCTCCACCGGATTCAATCGATCGAGTTGGCGGTCGTTTGTCAGTAGTATTGCGTATACTGCGGCCAGTTCAATATGCCGATTGATGGAATACGTTTGGAGTACAAGTAAGTTGTGTAGTACGATGCATTAAGAAACATCCTCGCCTGTTTTCTACATACATGCGCGGGGAACTCCATGTTCTACACATCAATATGGTAAACTCATTGATCTTCATAGCCAGAAACCAATGAGTGCGGAACATTTCTTCTGACGGCCGCCTTGGGTTCGGTGATTCCTGAGCAGATATTTATTCCTGTTTGTCCGACCTAGTTCTAATCGCAGTCGCATCAATTTAGCTGGCAGATGATATTGTATTGATCAAATTGTTTGACGTTTTATTTAAGTCTGGTGAATAATTTTGGTAGTGTGGCACTACGCTTTTGACCCACAAAGATTCCAGGTGTGTGCAGAAATCTTCCTGGTATTTTTGAGATACACATGAACTGGGTAGCTGGCTTTTTTTAGCAGCATTGATACACTTTGCATGAAGACAGCGGACTCTGTTCGTAACACCTCGTGAAATACAATCTGCGATAGCTAATTGAAATCTATATGACTGTTCTACTGCACTTAAGAGTTGGTTATTTAAGTACATATATTTATATGTTTGCGCAACTTAACTTATCCAGATGGTGAGTTTAGTTTTCTATTTCCGCGGCGTCCAATATGTGCCAGTGTTACTTATTTGGCGGTCCCTAATATGAGAACTGCTTTGTCTCAATTGCTGCGTGAACTAATCATTATGTCCGGTTAAGCTATGTTGTCCATTTAGAATGAAAATAGATTCTGCCACAGCAGTTTCCTAGAGTCAGATGAATAAAAAGCATTTGGAGCTACAGTTGAAGCAAACTGCTCCGATAATTAAGATAGCGGCTTCGTTAAAGATCTACTTGTGTTAACTCTATTTAACTTATCTTAATTGGTTATACCCTGGTGGGGACAATCTACGTGCGCTTCATGGCAGTCAAATAGGGAATTTAAATTTGCAGTATAAAACGTGCATCAACTCTTCACAGACTGGCCGGTGTAAGATATTCCGCAAAGCAATAGAGATATTTACAACTATAGTAAGCGCGAAGCATTTCCCTATGACTATGATCAAAGGTACAGTAAAAATCTTTTAGGCGTTTGTTTGTTTACCCCTCGTACTAATCAATAAGTAATTCAAGATTATCCGGTGGTGCAATGACAGTTATTGAAAACACGGCCTCGTCCATTGTCTTTATGTGTGCATTTATTACATTGAACTTTATATGCCTTGCTTTTCGCTTTCTTTCCTACTTAATTATGCGGCTGAATCTTCCATTTGAAATTCCAAGCAATGATTGCTTAAGCACCTTTGGACAGATAAATGCAGTCGCGATTTGATTAATTGCATTTTTCAAAGCGCTGGTTTACATTGTACAGGTCCAACTGGACTAAAAAAATGTTTGCGTCAAAAACAACCATTGCCCAACAATTGCAACAGGTAGGTTCCAAAGTTATCAACCGCTTCTACTAATTTTCTGTGCTTAAATTAGGCAAGGATGAAAACTCTAACTTTTCACTCGTTTTCATGTGTTTAATGTCTCCATTTAATTACGGATAGTAATATAAAGTTATTACTCTTTGGCTTGCTAATTTGCACTGCCTGCGGTTGCCACTTGATTATTGTTTGAAAGAAAAATACAAACATATTTCTGTCATGTTCTCCAGATTCATTCCACTTATTCGTAAAATAGTTTGTTGGCGTTGACCACAAATACGATTACACAACCAGGGGTTAGCAAAAAATGTATCCCACACTTACGGCGTTTCTATTTTGTGAATTTGCTTGCTACATTTCGCTACTTCAATAATGTTAGTAAAATAAATATTTATTCCCTAGACACTAGCAAATTACTTAAAGATGTTGACGTAGTTTTCCATCCCTACCACATCCAGGTTTATCAAACCCATGTCTTTACCCGTGATAATTAAATGTTCACTGCTTAAACTAAGTTTCATTTGCGAAATCTTAGAGGTGAAATTTTTAAACATTCTACAGTTTGCGGATGATTTAATGAGTTATTATGCCATCAGGTTCTTTCATCGGCGCATATGCAAAATGGAAATCTTTAGTCCTTGTTATTTCCCGAATAGAAATAAGCGCAATTTTAAGGCATCAAATTATAACGGTGATAATTAATAATCAGATAACCTAGAAAGCTCGCCGTGGTAGCTAGTTAACTGCGTGCTACTAAGGTAGTGATTTTAAGCGCTGGTGTTGTCGTAACTCAGCTACTGCATGCAAACATTTGTAGCTTGTTTGTTTGGTTGGTTTTATTTCACCACATTCTGGTGAGCGATCATCATTTTTCTGTTCAACAGGTAATCACACGTCGACGCACAGTAACGTCATCGTCATGACTCGAATAGCTTTGTGGCGTCCAGAAAGTACTATGAGCTCTAATCAACTACAGTAGAGATATGGCAGTAAAGAGGGAGAACCTAAGTGATATTGTTTGACACATGCTATCAGCTACATAACGAAACTTGCCGATGGCGCTTTGTCCTCTTTCTGGTTGAGAAATTTTGGTTCGCAGATGAAAATGTTGCTATGGAACATGACGCCTCCATTATGCGCGGCAGGCAAATAATTTGGAATATCGTTCTATCCGAACGTTCAGTTGTTCGAAATGCATGGCATTTATAATTAAAACTGCTTACAATTTCCCTAATAATGAGTTCCATTCAGCTCTTATCCGTTTCTTTAGTGATAGTGACTGTTCTCATTATATATCCACTGATAACCAAACAAATAACACATGGGTGGACATGTGATGTTCGATTTCGTTTTGCAATGAGATCTAATTGAAATCGATTATAAAATGATGCTCTCAGGAAAACAATAATGGAATGGAGGTAACGGACAACGTCACCTAGAAGAATCACTTGCCACTCTTCTTCAAGGCATAATATATTATGAACGATCAAACAAACTTTGATGGGTTTTTCTGTGCAACAAGCGAATCCATTGTAGTAAAAACTATTCCTTGGTGGGAAGAACAAGTGAAAGGATAAAACGTAATATTTAGACTTGTTGTTGGAGTATATTACGGATAGTAACAACTTGATCTAGTCTGCATTATGGAGGAGCAGATAAGTAAACGACTTTATATCAGAATAATTTTGGTGGACACTTCTGTCCCAATTATCATACTATTGTTTTGGTAGAGAACTAAATGATTGCATTTTCGCTCAAGAATTTTAATAACGGTGTAGCGTCGCCTACTTACACTTATGAAATTTCTCTAAGGCATGGGAAGATCTACTGCTACGCTAGCCTGTATGTAATAATTGCTGACATAAAGTAATAAAATTCTTTGGATTAATCGTAATTAACTTTCCTCATCGCTGCCCAATTATTACATATTTTAGTAGTTGTTTTGCAAGAAATTAAGACAATTATATGGATTTAAGTAACGCCAAGTGATATTAACTTAGGTAGTAAACCCAACCTATGAATAAATTTGTTAGGTTTTGTTATCACTGCGATAGCCAAAGGAAATTGCATGCTCATTTATATGAGAAATATCAGGGTTCGAGGCATATTGTTCGGATACTTTTAACACTGTGATTTTCTGTTTTTCGGTCGGTGTATGGTTATTGCAAAATGCTTAATTGCTTTAATCGGAATCGCACCCGGTAAACTAATGAATAACTCACATCCTTATTATTTCACACACGTGGACTTTTCCTTTACACATGCGACTAATCTTGCTTATATTCTGACACGTGTTTTGTTGACGGATAATAAATACACGTGAAATATATACATTTTGTTAAAGCCTCAACGCATGTATCAGAATGATAAACGGGTTAAAATGATAAGTTGGTACTAGATATTTGCTAGAGAAATTCACACAAGGCGGCGTTTGAAGTGTATGCCATTCATATACTTTTTGTATCGGTTGTAATTCTTTGTTGTTTTGCAGCTTAAACAGAAAATATTGAGCATGTGTCCAATAATTATATATCATAATTAAATAACATTATGAAGCAACTTATCATACGGTGACAAGAGTGCATTCGGGCCAACATATGCGTTGCCTGGTAATAGTTAACCCGTCGTCCACGTAGGTGTTAGCTGGTGGCCAATAAAGTCCCTTGGTACCGCACATACAATATTGGGTACGTCCCGTATTTGACACGCAACAATGGGTCACAGAGGCAGAAATGATCTGTTTAATAAGAAAAAACAAGTTTCGTAATATAATTTGGCAAATTGACGTTTCTCACACAAATGATCAGTTGTATACACGCCTTTTGCGAAGTATTCAATCTCACAGCAGCGTAGGTGAATATTTGTGCAATTCGGCAATTCAATGAATCAGAGCCAATCGGATGCGTCGGACAAGCAGCCTAAAGAGTAAATGTACATTGCGGTGCGGTTCCGCTTGACACGAAAAAATCACTTTATGTTCAAGAAGACTGTCCGAGCATACCACATTTATTGCTTTTTCAATAATGTTATGCCGCTGTATTACAACATTCACCTTGAAAGTTCCTGTCTAGTCAGTCCGTATTAACAACCTGGCAAACTATGGCTGATTCATCGCCGTCATCACCTAGGCAGAACACGAAGACAAACACTGCTTTATAGCGCAGCTAATCAGTCGAAAGCTTGCAAAGTCTAAAGTTTATATATCCAGTAGAGTGTTCTAAATATTGCGGTAATAAATGATGCCTATTTTACATTGGCTCGATTTCAAAGTTGAACTTGGAGAATCCGCTGGTGGTTGGGTTGCTACAAGCAACCTCTATTGAGACCTCGGTTCAATTGAGATTGACCTCGGTCATTTCGATTACAAAGACCGTAAGTAAAGTGGAAATGATGGTGTCGCTCATCGCAACACTGGCACCCCAAGACCGCGGCTTCGTCCTGGTTGGGACTCATTAGTTTAAGATAGCCTGAGTTGGGCTGGAACTCAGAGCCTAGTGGCTACTGGTTGACGTCATAAGCACTATGCCACTGATATCCGTGAGCAACGCTTGGTACAGCGAAAATGAATTCTAATTTGTACTTGGAGAATCCGCTGGTGGTTGGGTTGCTATAAGCAACCTCTATTGAGACCTCGGTTCACTTGAGGTGGACATCGGTCATTTCGATCACAAAGACCCTAAGTAAAATGGAAATGATAATGTTGCTCATCCCAACATTGGCACCCCATGGCTCGATTTCATTTCATTTACGTACAATACATATCAATATTTTAGTTTGTTCACAAACGTATTCATGTCATCTGATGTTAAACAAACTCTTAGTATATCACTTTTTAATCTACAATTTAGTGTCTCAGGTTGCATGCATCCGTGTGTAGTGTAAACATCTAAATTTTTTCTTGTGATTCCACTATTGATGTAGACGATTGCACTTGCTGTTGAGCAAAAGTGAAAAGCCAGAGAAGCCAAACTTTTATAAGCAGGAATTCGAATTCATGTTTTTGTATGTCACGAACAATTTACTTTTTGTCGTGGCATAATAAGATGAGAATTCACACATGTAATCAGTAGGGAAAGGTACTTTAAGTCCGTATGAAAACAATCTTGACGTTCTGGGAATGTATGGGGAATATTTGTCAGGTAAATTCATTCATTCTAAGGTCAAATGATGAGCACCAAGCTTGTCAATTAGGATATCTATAGAAACCATGTTACTTAACAAACTTAAGTTGTAACCTGAGCTCATAATTATTTTAGGCATGAAATATAATGTGGCTTGTATCAATATTACATGTGCTACTTTATTCTTTCTGAACATTGATACTAAGCACTATAAGTATCATTCACACGCTGGTTTCTAGAATTCCTAGTACCTGTTACCACGCATAAAGCAGCATTAATATGTTATAATGACAAAATAGTTGACTGCATATTAGAAAACTAGGGAGAACAAATACGGTTGCACTATTACATGCCACGGAGAAGAAATTGCACGTTACGTTTTACACGAAACCTAAGTCAATTGATCCGATAGGTTTTCGTAAATTAATACTAGCTTTTCTATTTAATAGAAGGAATCGTATTCTGATAGGCCCTCCCTTGATCTCACGTCTCTAGTCCCAGTTATTATTTTCACAACTAAACGCATGATCTGTTGATTAGAGCTGTTGCTATTTTGATCAAATCATATTATAATATTATAAACAATTATCCAAATACTCGCGCATGTAGTTGGTCTTACGAAGACATTAATTAAGCAACCAAATATGAGCAAATCTTTAGTATAAACTATGAAATTTGGCTGGCAGATTATATAAGATCTAATAACTTTTGAATACCTGTGCCTTGTTTGGGTTTATACAAATCCGCAAATGCTTTACATATACAGGTATGCGTTTGTTCCTCCAGTTTTAGTGAAGGAAGTTCCCCTTCCCAAATAATAAGCGTTGAATATTCGTTTTACAACTTAATATTCGTACCCAAAATTCTCGCCACAATCATTCAGTTATTTTTATCTGCCAAGAGCTTCCCCTGAATAGAATGAATACCTCAAGTTTTACTTCATGGTGTACCTCTAAATTGAAAGGTCGTAAGGCCATCGAATCAGCCGAAGTACTATATTTATTCTAAAAATTAAATCAAAATCCCTGCATGCAACTAAATCGGAACTTAAATAGAACTGTAGACAAGTTCCATTCTTCTATCTCTAACTGATGAAATATAAACGAATGGGTTTATCAGCTTTAAGCTAACCATCTGTCTTCTAGACTCGGTTTAAACAGCGCTTTGTGCAGGTAATTACGACATAATGCCATGGAACAGCTTCACAAGACAGTTGGGATAATTGACGATTTCCGCTTAATGAAAAACGCACATCCTGCTGAATGTTTGCAGTAAGCAATTAACTGCGTCGACGCCCAATTTCATGAACGATTCCAAGATGATACTTACGCATAAACAAACGCATGTACTAATCTAGTCGTTCGACTTCAATGCAAACGCAACTAAAAGAGCATTATGTAGATTTTTACATTCGTGGGTAGGTAGATAAACGTAATGATTACCAATTAAAAATAATTTTTGTAACTATAGTTGGAACATTTAACATTGTGAACAAACCATAACTAGCCCAACTGAAAGAAGGATGTAAGATGTATAACGGTACGAAACAACTGTATGAAATATTGACGGTCATTCATTTATTTAAAAGATTTCAAATGGAGACAGTTAATCCAAAATTTACGTAAAGCTAACCGTAAAATTTTCAAGTGCAAGCAAAAATGGTTTTGTTGTGTGGAAAGCGCACAGGATTACATATTATTCAAAGAAGCCTCCTGTGAGGTGTCTCCTATATGAATAACTGGCATATTTACCATTCAACTAAATGGACGTTAGCTAACTGCAAACCAAAACCTTATTATATATCTATACCCTAACTTACCCAAATCATTGCAAAAACGACCGCGCGCATTACGCTAATTTGCACTGTGAGGAAGGGCTAAATGCACAACTAAACTCTTCTCTATATATGTTTGCGTTTTCCGCACAGAAACACATCCAATGCAAATGAAATGAAAACGACACATTGTAGATGAATAAGGAATGCGACATTTTAGAAATGCCAAGGCCCAATCGGATAAAACCGGAGAGGTAACAGAAAGAACGGATAATCGGCCTGGCTCATTGCTATCACGACCGTTTTCAGTGCTACTAAAATAAACCAACTAAGTCGCCTGGCTAACCTAAAGCGAGAAGATTCTACTCGCCTGGTGAACGCCAAAAGACAGCGTGTTTATCTGCTGGAAGGCTACTCATAGTTAAATCGTGCGGCAGTCAACTTACTTTTGCTTTCGTAGTTTACACGTAAAAAATTTAATACAACTTGCACTACAGAATAACAGATTGTGGCTACGTGGCTAAATTGGACAAGCAAGATGCAACATTGAATTTTAAACAAAGTATTGTTTTGGGCAAATATTTGAACATTTATATTCATTCTGTGAGCAAGTAATAGTCCCCTGTAACAACATGTAATTTAGTAATATTTTGACTTAAATGCTTACGTAGACAAAACTGTAATAATAAAGTAACCGACATTTTCTTGGACAAGAAAGACTAAATTCATGGGACCTGCTTATTAGTAAAGTGGGTCCAATTTTTTGGTTCATTACCGGAAGCATTTTAGGTTAAGTGCAAGAAAGTGGTGTCCTGGACAAATACGAAAATTAATGAGCTCTAGGTAGACTAAGCATATTAGGTCACGGTTCACATTATACCTTAACCTGCTGGGTTTACTTTATATATATGACGATAGCCAAGAGGGTGTTAAAAACCTGATTAAAACTAAGTGGCTCAACTAATCCGCACACGTGTTGATTATAGATGGCAGGCGTCTTGGAACACAGCTCAAGCTGATTCTATGGATTTCGAATGCGTCATAGCGTTTCCTCACGGCTATAGTTGGATAATCTTGACAGGTATAAGGATGTACTTCCACTGATATTTAAGGTAGCTTTATAAAAGTGTCAGAAAAAGACCACTTGTTTGGGGTTTATGAAATCCTTGCACTAGCTCGAACGCCCAGCGGTTTGTCGTCGACTACTGTCGGTCTGATGATCCATCCACTCTTGTTGCGCACAGCGAATAAAGATATTCAATTTTAATACCCATGGTACGTTAAATACAAGGTTATATCACAACGTAAACAAATAGGCTATGCAAAGATCAATTTTCTCATGCAGGTGATGAAAATCAGTATTAGGTATGTAACAGATGCTATGCTACAAGCGCTGCGTTGCTCATACTTTACCTTATAGTTCATTAGTTGAGCAGATGGCACAGTTGGTATTGCGCCCTAATCTTCCTGTCCTTCACAAAATGAAAAATCCCAGGCATAGATTAAAACTCATTGTTACCAAATGAAAGTAGTTGATCAGTAATTCGTTGACATATATATATATTGCTTAATAAATTCATTAACCCTTGACTTTAAATTATTTTTTGCCCCGTTGCAACGTTTAATGTGACAAGTTTTCGGCAAATACGTCAGTATACCAGTGAGTTCGTTATTGGTCACTTGCACTTCATGCACACAAAATTATCCCTCTACTTCAGGCTGATACAACATAGATGAGTGAAATATGCCATCCAATAAGTACAATCTTCTTGCAGTGCAAAACATGTCATATATTCAAAAAACAAAACTGTTGTTCACAACGTTTGCATTGTTTTAAAACAAATAGCTGCAGCTGGCGTGTAATTGTCTGTCAGATTCTAAGTCAGAGTAGAGCAAGAAGGTTGGATAACGTACGATTTGAATCTCAAGGTTCTCGTGGCACTTACATTCAGGCATTTTTATGTGCCCTAGTCCGGTGACAGAAGGTTTGCAAAAGAATTTCGAAACTATACTATCATATTCATAAGTTGGTTAATATTACTAACGTATAATTCCTAGTGATACTTTTTTAATACCCCGTGTAAGAATAATATGTCTAGAATTAGGGGTATTATCACCTTCTTTTAAGCGTTCTCTACGTAACAACCTGCAAAATAAACAAAACAAAATATTCGTTTTTATTACTTTTTTATTTTTTTGCAACTTGTTCGTTTAAATGCATGGTAAACGCTGTAATTGTGCAATATATGACACACGCATAAGGATACATCATTTTTCTTCTGCGACCCTGCGTCGATTTGTATCTTTAATTAATCGGATATACACATTAAGAATATTTGCTCATCAAGATTCTAAACTAGTTGCGTATTACGAACAAATATTCATATATATATATAACCCATTGGAGATAGGTGAGGCCATTGTCAACATTACGCGGATGATTGACCTGAGGACACACGTTTAAGTCAACATTCATTTCGTTTATGGTTGTTACGCTTGGTGACAGAAAGGGTAAGCAAGATGTTACTTAACAGTTATCGTTGTATAAATGGTACTAAGCCTAGGATTATATTCGCTTGAAACTCAAAATTATTAGGCGCTCTCAAACAGGGAATTCCTAATTCCTTTACAAACACGCTCGAAAACAAGCGCATAAAGGATTATTTTCAGTGCTTCAAGCTGTTAGTCCATTGACTCTATCAAAGGCATATTTCTATGCTTGAAACCTTTATGTTAATGAAAGCCCTCACTGATCTCAAGCCTACTGATCTGTTTGAGCCATCCGCGTTATATTATTTGCTTATGCATCATTTGAAGCGCAAGAAACAGAGAGCAGAATTATACATCAGAGCTAATCGTTTGTGTAGCATGTTGTTTGCAGCTGGAGGAAGTGACCTATTGAATTATTGTGTTGCAAAACTGAATCAGCTTTCAAGCATGTTTAGTTACTTGCTGGTCGCATTATACTAATATTAAATTTTTGTATAAATTTATGTATTGTTGCACTTGATGTTGATCCATGTAAATGTAAATATTTATCTAGTTATTCCTTAATTTTTGCAGAAAAGCTAATGCAGGAATCTCGGAATTTATACTGCGTCAAACATTTTAAAACTGCAGTTGTCAACCATGTTGCAAATCTTATTTGCGCATTATTTGCAATAGTGGCAGTAGAAATTGAGGAATCCCCATCTTCTTGAGAGGATAAACTCGATATCCGTCAATTTATTTTATGGTGTCCAGTATTTTAAACTGATTTTCGCAACCTTTCCGACAGTGGCACCAATTTAATAAGTAATGCTTAGCAACAGACGGACGGAGGTCGATCACCGATGGGTAATTGTGACTTAGATAAGCATTAACATTGGAAAAAATACAAATTGGTATCAGCATTCACAATAGTACGTTTGGAATGTTTCGCAAAATAAATTGATCTAAACTCCAACGTAACATGGAGAACCGCAAAGTGCAAACAAATGTAAAAATTAAGATGTGTGATTCAAATTGATAGATGTCACTATTTAGGGCAATATGTTTCGTGCATGGTGAATTGATATGAGCTAGGCTGCCGACGTCTTCAACTTAAATTCAATGACCTAATTGGTCAGCTAGGCATTGAGTAGCTTATTGTCAATATCTTTGTGAAAACAGTGTAGAAGTAGCGATTATGTGTTAAAAGGAGCTGCACGGGTATATGCAAATCACTATAAAATATATAAAATATGTATGCTAGAAAAATGATGTGGCACTATGAAGCCAGTGTGCTAGAGGCACGCGCTTCTGGCTAAAATGATAAACGTCTGGTGGTATAATCCGAGGAACTCAGCCTATAACTGGCACAGGTTTGCAATCGGTCAAAGATAACATATATGTTGAGGCGGACGATAAGTAAGAATGCCACAAAAATTCAAAGATCTTTTGGAGCCAATTATAAGCTTGCAAATAAAGTGCGACACTCTAATAATAGTACGTAATATTTCAGTTACTTTCATTGCAAAATTGTTGAGTTTTGTATGTGTTGATGTCATCGAAAAGTAGTTAGATAACATAACCGGCAATAAGTGGTGTAAAAGCGTGAGCAGAATAACTATATTGACACACAAAATGCTTAAAACACCAAGCATTCGTTAGACAGAACATTACATCAGCCACTCGCCTTCCGATATTTAACATGACCCGTTGGCCTAACATAACGTATTGAAGAAGTGGGATCACTTCTAAAGTGGTC